ACTTGAAAAGCCTCCATAGTCTTTCACAGTCTCACCTCTATTTCAGAAGTTCACAGTATCTTTTGAGACTCAAAATAATCTCTTATCTATAACCTTCTATAAAATAAAAAAGCAAAATGCATACTTCCAGTATACATTGACACAGAATATATATTTCCATTGAAAAAGGAAGGAATGGAGACATAGTGAAGAAATACCAGACCAAAGCAAGATCAAAACCCAGTAGGGCAAAAAACAAATCCTGTAGCTCTCTGTCCAGTGTCTACAGCTTTAGATCCCAAGGGCTTAAATGGCTCTGCTCCCAGCATACATCATTCTCATGTTGGTTCCACTTCCTATATGCAGCTCTCCTTGGCAGATGTCTCATAGGTCTGGTATCTCTACCATCATGGTATCCATCACAACCCAGGCTTTACTTTCACAGCTTCATGAATTAGACTCTAATGGCCTCTTGCCCTCTCAGGGCCTTCACACAGGGACTTCCACAGCACACTTAGCAGTTCTCTGAAACTGAGTAGGGAGAATCTATGGACCCCTCATTCCAAAGCGTCAAGTGAATGACACTGACAAGTTCAACTTCTAGCTTGGAATGAACTCTCATCCCCTTGGACCACATTAGCAACAGCTTTTGTATGTTGAAACACCTGCTTTCTAGGAGCAAGCAACCCCTTAGGCTTTCTTCTTTCACTTCATGGAGCCTAGCTGGGAGGAGTCTTGCCCTGGGGTTACCCTTCCCATTGTTCAGTGCAGAGCAGCAGGCCTCTCCTTAATGGTGCTAATCTCCTTAACAATTACAGCCTCTTTTCCAGCTCCAGCACATGCACTGGCTGCAACATTAAGCTTTTAGTGTTTTTTTTTTCCTCTCCAAACTATACATTGTCTATTTCCTTGTGTATCACTTGCTCTTTGTCAGTGCAACTGTGTAAGAGTTATCAGTAATAAGCATTCCAAAGACTCAACATTATGCTGTCTTAGAATCTCCTCTGCCAAAGAAATTAGTCCATTAACTTTCAAATTCAGCCTCACATAAATTCTCAGGACACAGGCAGAAAACAGCCAGATTTTTGCCAAATATAACATATGCATGGCCCCTATATATAGTCAAAAGACCTTGTTCCTGCTGAAACCTCGTGATCCATGTCTCCACAGTCCACACTGCTCTCAGCACTACTATATTACAGGCTCCTACTAGACCCGGCTATTAAGCTCTTCTTACAACATTCATGTTCCTAGTTCAAAGTTCCAAATACTTGCTCATTGCTCAAAAAAGCAACATGGTCAGGTACTTCACAGGAACCATCCCACATCCCCTAGTACCACTTCTGTATTAGTTACTTTTCTGCTGCTGTGATTAAAATACCATGACCAAAAGCAACTTAGAGAGGAAGAGTTTATTTTGGCTTATGATTCCAAAAGGGTCCATAATGGTGAGAAAGACATGGCAGCAAGCAGCCAGAGCAGGAAGCTGGCTGCTCATATTTCATCGTCAGCACACCAGGAAATACAGAGAGCACTGGAAGCAGGGTGAGGCTATAAATTCTAAAGCCCACACCCAATGATGTAATTCTTTCAGCAAAGCTCCATCACCTAAAGGTTCCATAACTTCCCCAAACAGTACAACCAACAGAGGACCAAGTATTTAAATACATGAGCCTATGGGGGACATCAGTCATTCAAACAACCACAACCCTTAATGGCTAGACCTAAGAGTGATCAAGCTATCTATTCAACTACAATCAAGTTAGATTTTTATTACTTTCACCTTAAGATACATTAAAAATACCCTAAATGCCACCTGAGGGATAAAGAATGTCAAAAATGCTATTATAAATTGGGGGAAAAGAAACGGATTGTTTTTTAATAGGGGTTAGTTTTTTAGATAGGGTCTAACTCTGTAGCACAAGATGGCCTCAAATTCTTGGTGATCCTCCTGCTCCAGCCTCCTTAGTGATGGAATTACAGATGTAAGCAATCATGCCCCAAAAGAAACTGATTTTATATATTGATTTTTATTTTGTTTTGGTTTAGTTTGGCTTTTTGACACCAGGTCTCATGTAGCTCCATGCTGACCTCAAATTTACTTTGTAGCAGAGGCTGACCTTCAACTCCTTAATCCTTCTGCCTCCACCTTCCAAGTGCTAGGATTGCAGAGATGTACTATCACATCCAGCAAGAAACTGATTTTTTTAGCTGAAAAACAACCTGATGTGTTCTATTCACCTTAAGAAATGAGATTCAAGTCAAGTGGTACTTCAGACCCATAATCCCAGCAGGCAGAGGCAGAGGCAGAGGGATCTCTATGAGTTTGAGGCCAGCATGGTCTATAGCGAAACTTTATCTCAAAAAAGGAAAAGGTAAAAGAAGTGGGTTTCAACTTTAACCACTTAAAGTTGACATTCCCAGTATACTATCACATTAAGAAATACTTGTAAAAAGAACTTCCCTCATACATCCCCTACCTTGGTTAGTAGAACACTAGCCTTTCAAGGCAAAATCTTTGGTGCCAATCTACAATTTTCCTTCTCCATTTCCCCATTCTTCCTACTTCCTCAACCAAAATGACCAAGTCCTATCATTTTTTCCTAAGTGTTCTTAGAGCTGGGCGTGGTGGTGCACACTTTTAATCCCAGCACTTGGGAGGCAGAGGCAGGTGGATCTCTGTGAGTTCAAGGCCAGCCTGGTCTACATAGTGAGTTCCAGGACAGCTGGGGCTACAGGGAGACCCTGTCTCAAAAAGACGCCCCCCTCTAAGTGTTCTTCCAGTCAGTCCTCTCCATAACCTCTGCCACTGCCTAGTCCACACCTTTTTTTCTCACCTTATCTGAAACAGCTATCCCAACCTCACTGCCTCAGTCACCCTTATTCCACAGCAGTCAGGGTGATTTTCCAGTTACAACCCTAGTATCTCTTCTGCTCAAAATTTCAACTGTCTCTGTCACCTACAGACCTAAGCTATTAATAACAAATAATAGCCTAACCTATTAATAACAGAATATAACTTTCTATGATTTGAGTCCCGCCACATCACACTGCAATCACCTCTCATGAAACACTTTTTTTTAAGACAATCTAAATTTGTATCCCAAACTCAAAATCTTCCTGCCTCAGCCTGTGCTGTAATTACAGGTATGTACTACATCCAACCCGCATCCAACACTTTAAGCATCATCAATATCAAGCTATACTGCTGGAATTTCTAGCACACACATCATGCTAGTTGTCTATAGCCAACATTTTCCTCTTTGGATTCCTGGATAACTGCCATGTATCTTTAAGATTCAGCTTATGTTTAATGAGAACACTCAGTCAAGTGCTTGTCCCACACTAACTATAAGAACCTGAATTCGCTCCCTAACACCTAAGTAAAAAGTCAGGCATGGTGGCATACATTTGGAACCCCAGTGCTAGGGAAGAGAAGGCAGGAAGAACCCTGGAGCTCACTGGCCAGTCAGCCTAGCCTAATAAAAATAAATAAAATAAAATTCAGCTTAGATCCCAGGAAGGCACCTAAGCCTTACTATTATTATTGTTTTCCATTTTGTGAACTCTGTAGCTAACACTGGCACTTAATGGGCATTTACTATGTCCCTGCCACTGTTTCCAAGCATTTCCAACTCATTTAATCTTCTATGAAGTAGAACCGTTATTATTTTTGTACACATAGGAACTGAATTACAGAGAAGTAACATTCCTGAAGATATCCAACTTGATGGAAACAGATGAAAATCCCTACGTCGTATATAATATTGTACCTGTCACAGTGAAGTTATTCACATGAATGTCACGTAAGCTCCCTGAGGGTAGGGAGCATGTCACATCTGTCTCTAAATCAACTGTACCTGGTTTAAACTACATACATAAACACTGCTCACATTTCTGGAACTGACTTTAAAATAGCATTCCTAAAAAGCTCAGGACAAAAACATTCAAAAACTGGTTCCCAAATAAATATCTGAATATGTTATAGGAGTTCTAGAATAAAGCAAGCTATTTTATCAAATAAAAGGATATTCAAAAGAGAAGTCATGGGGCTGGAGAGATGGCTCAGCAGTTAAGAACACTGGTTGTTCCTGCAAAAGACCTGTGTTCAAATCTCAGCACCCATATGGCAGCTAACAACTGTCCATAACTCCAGTCCCAGGGGATCCAACAGCCTCATCTGACCTCTGTGGGCATTGTACGACATGGTACACTTACCTATATGCAGGTAATACACACATACACATAAAATAAAAATAATAAATAAAAAAAGTCATTACAGACATGAGATTACAGTCCTTGAGGACAATGAAATGAACTTATTTTGTGGTAATATTGTTTAATCACCATTAATAAATCAAACTCAAGGGACCATTTGCTTATGATTAATTTTTCCCCCTCACTAAGACTTCTTGTTTCTTAACATTCATGGCAGTAAAAAGAAAGCCCTAAATTTACTTTACTCGAATGGAAAGAAGCAAATCATAGTCCAGGGCAACTAATTGCTTCCTTAAATCCTGCCAAGAAATGTATCCCATTAGGCAATTAAAAGAAAATCCAGTTGCCTGACTAAGCATTCCACAGAAGAATTTCTAAGGTTGTGTAGACTGGCATTCCACTATTCAAATACTGAAAATGTTTCTAAGGCAAAGAAAAATTTTAAAAACTAAGAACAAAATAAAACCACCAGTCTACAGAATACAGACATTTATACTACAATATATATGTTACATTAAAACATATGAAGTCATTCTTGGTTTAAAATTTAAAAAGGTATTCTAATACCAACGATATAAAACTTTATGACCAAACTACTGTACTCAGTTGTGTTACACTCCTCTGAGCCATACTGAAACGGAGTAATTAAAATCCACAGGGACAGTACGTTAGAGTGATCTACACTCCACCCAGCCTTAAACCACTTGTGCACCACTGAAAGGTAAATTTGCTATCCAAAGACCCAAAATTTAAGCCACTGCGAGTTCAGGCCACAGGACGGCAATCTCTGCCCCTAAACACACCTACTATTTCTTTGTACATTCAACCATCAGCTCCTGGTAAGAGGCCACAAACTGGAACTTGGATGCATGTTTTCCCACACGCTGCAGTCTCTTCCAAACTGAAGCCATGGTGAGGGGTCAAAAGGCTGGAAAGGTTCTGGATGTGCAATACAGCAGCTTTAATAAAGCAGAGGGTCCAAAGCAAAAGAGCTTTGCATGTATGTCTGTACTTTAAAAAAAAAAAAAACAACTATAACTTGAAATGATGCTTGGGGTCCATAAGTCTTCCCCGTTTCACAGGGTAAATCCCATCCTAGATGAATGGCCCGGTCAAGGACAGTATGAACACATGACACGATGATTGAGAGGAGGTTCCCTCACCGAGACATCACCGTTCCACCTCAGGAGCTATATGACGTGTATTCTGGAGAACTGAAAAGCAAAACAAAGACAGAAAGAGCAAGAATATGAGAAAAGCACGGAGAAGCGACTAACACCCATGCTAGATAAGGCTGCAACAGCCTGTTATCTGCATGTTTTTCAAACAACGAAACAAAACACCGGCCTCAAAAGCTACTAACATCAAGGATGCCCGATACCATGGAAGAACTGACAATTCACAGCGAAGACGGAGGCAAAACACCAGGTAACCAGCAGCAGGCACCGAGAGGAGTCGGGCCCTGCCTGCCCATCCTCGCATCACAGAAGGGCTAGTAGAGCGGGAAAGTCGGGATACTGGTTAAGGTCCACCGCCAGTCAGAGGGAGGAGCGGAGTATTTTTAAATAAACTTTATTTTTCCGACAATAATGAATAGCCTCGAGTCCTAGAATGTGTGCTTAGAACAAACTAGGGTGCAAGACGGAAACGCTGTTGTCCAGGAGGAGGGGAAACGGACGGGGACTAGGAGTGGAGGGAAAGCTCCAGGCTCCGGGAGGGCAAGGTCCCTGCTGCAGGCCACTCGGGCGCCCTTCACCCAGGCTGCCCCGAGGAGCGGAATGCAAAGTCCTGCCTGGACTGGACGCGGGGCAGCGGGCAGCGGCCGTGCGGGAGCGGCACCTCCCTCCCCCAGACCAGCAGCCCGCCCTCCCGCGCCGCCTCCGCCCGCAGGGAGCCCGGACCCTGCCTCTGCCCGCAGTCGCTGCCCCTGTCACCCAGGCGGTGCCACCGACCCCGGCCCGGCCCCCGCGCCCCGGCCCCTACTCCCACCTCCAATCCCGCCGTGCCCTCCTCAGAGCCGCTCCTCCGTCGCCGCCGCCGCAGCAGCCGCCGCCGCCACCGAGTCCTCCATCCCCACCGGAGCCGCATGGAACAGCCGAGCTAGGCGCGGCGCAGGCGGGAGCCCGGGTCCGCAACCCCCGAGCAGACGGCGCCCGCGCCCGCCCCCTCCCGGCAGAGCGGCCTCCAGCCCGAGCGCCCTCCCGCCCGAGCGAACCCCGCTAGCGCCTAGGCTCAGCGCCTCGCGCCCCGGCCCCGCCCTCCTCCGCCGCCACCACCACCATCATTACCTCCCCCGCCGCACCTCTCACACTAACCCTGCCCACGGCGGCTCAACCTCGTCCCCGCGGCCGCCATTGGCCGGGCATGCGAGGGCCCCGCCCACGGGGGCGGCCGGGCCTTAGTGCGGCTGGAGCGTCTCATTGGCGAAGCTCGGTGCCCGTCACGGAGGCTCCACCCGTGGAGAACCAGGCTCCTAGTCCTTCCTCTTTAAAAAAAAAAAAATTGGAGACCCACGAAGGACGATCCCGCCCATTCCTCTGAATGGCTGAGAGAGGGCTCGAGAGGCGGGAGCGGTGGGGCGTGTTTATGGTGAACTGGAAAGCGGTTGCACACCGAGACTGTCCGTCACGGGCGGGACAGGGCGGGGCTTCGGGCGCTTGCCTGTGCCGCCTAGCAGGGGTCAGCCTGGCTGCCTCGCGCAGAGCGTGGTGCGGTTGCTCTCGGTCCTGGTCCCCACCCAGGGCTCGGTGTGCCCTCTCCTGCTCAGCCAGTAGCCAGCGTCTTTGCACACACGGCCTGAATTTCACTCCGTTCCTCCCGGGGTTTCTTTTGACCCTGCCAGGCCCCCGCCCCAGGTCCAAATCCACAGGATTCAGTAAGCTGAACTAGACGTAAAACGTCTATACTGCGGCTTCTTCCTGCTCTGAGTCTCAGCGTTTCTTTTGAATCTTGCTTTCTCCTGCTGGTTTGCGGTCTCTCTATCCCCTGGGATGAGCCGGGGGTGGATATGGGAACGGCTGGCTAGGTGAAAAGGGCGATTGGAGGCCGAGAGCAAGGGTGTCCTGCCCAGTTAAAAGAGCGGGCCTCTGGCAGCTCAGGATGGCCTGGAACCCGCTCTTGTAGGCCAGGGCTGGCCTTGAACTCTGACTTTACTGCCTCTGCCTCCTGAAATCACGTGCATCAGTCAAGCCAGATTTTTTTTTTTTTCTTTTTTCTTAAAATAGTGTCTGGCAGTATATCCGAGGCTGGCCTCGAGCTCCATCATCCTCTGGCTTCCAGGGTGGTGGGATTGCTGGGATTTGCCAGTGGGAGCCGTTGCCCAACTCCAAGGTCCCTTTTGAGGATATGAAAGCTACACTTTCTCTATGGGCAGAAAATATCCCAAAACACAAAACATTTGCTTTCAACTGTAGGCGGTTCTCAGATCTTTGATGCACAGAAAGAACTAAGCAATGTGCTGAGACACTCATGGTTTGTCAGGACTAAGGCAAAAAGAGGAGCCTAAGGATATTGGGAGAAGTGTTGCCCAAGGAGGGAGGGGGAAGAAGGGCTAGGGAGAGAGGAGAGAGCGGAAGAGGGGAGGGAAAGAAAGAATTGGAGGAAGGGGAGACGGGAGAGAATTCAGAAAGCAAGCAATGAGCAAACTTTGGAAATGAGGTGGAAGCAAGCATGGAAACGGTAAAAATAAGCCCTGAAATTAATTAAGGGTCATTCCTAAGCTTATAAAAGGTGGCGAATATAGTAAAAGAGTAACCTGAAGGGCTCAGAGATGGCTCAGTGGTTAAGAGCACTGGCTGCTCTTTCAGGGGACCCGGATTTGAATCCCAGCACTCAGATGGCAGCTGACAAAGGCCTTAACTCCAGTTCCAGGGGAAATTCGATGCCCTCTTCTGACCTCCACAGGCACTGCATGACACCGGTGCACTTATGTACAGGCAAGCAGTACACTCATGCACATAAAATAAAAATGATAAATTTTTTTTAAGTAACTTGAATTCTTTGAAGGAGGTGAAGTGTGATGAAGTAAGAACAGCTGCATACAATAGTAGCAAGAGAAAGGAAGGGGTGGATACTATCAATTCCAGGCAGATGGGAGATGGGTAGAAGGCTTGAATCCAGGATCTAAGTCTACTTCCACTTTCAGTAAGAGAAAATGGCCTAATAATACCACAGAGAGGAATGTACATTTTACAGAAAAAGGTGTAGTTATCACTCATTTTGCAGTAGTCAGTTCTAAAATGTAAAATAACCAGAATTCTTATTGTGTATACATTTTACAGTTCTCAGGTGTCCTTCCACAGGTGAGTTACACAGCCATCATGATCTTTTAGTAATATATTCTGCTTCGTTAATAGATATTATGTGCATAGACCTTTTTAATGCGTAATTTATAGAAATGGTCATAAACTATGCTCATCTAAGTTGCCTTTCAAGAACCGACATGATAATCAGGTTTTTGCACCCTACTTATTACTGTTCTTCATAAATTCTCAGATATTCTCAATATGGTCATTCTGTTTCTTTTAATACTCTTTTCCTTCCTCAAAGGAGAGAGGAGGCTTTATTGTAAAGAAATTATCTAAAGAGCAGTGGGAGGAAGAGGGGAGAAAGGAAGGAAAAGAGGGAAGGAGAAAGGGAGGGATGGAAGAAGGATGGAGCGCTAGGGATCGTCCAGTTAGAAAATTTCGAAGAAAAGTTTTTTTATAAGATAGCTCTTCATTTTAGGGAAAACATTTTTCTTGGACGTAAACTCACTTTTCTTTTTAGCCGCCAAGGTAGCTATGAAGAGACCAAGGTTAAAATTGTCTCCTGAACAAGGAAAGATACTAAGAGCAGACCTTGACATTGTTCTACTGCTGAGCTCAAGAGCATAGACTGTCTCCTGGAGGCTGCCGGGAGCAGTGTCTTCTCTTCTCGCCAGAGCACTTTCAAAAATTACCTGTCTACCAACTGAATTTATTGAGGAACTTTAAATATAGAATATTCTAAGATTTGTTGGTCTGTTTATAAGTACTGACTAAATATTGATCATGTTAAATACTATTAATAATACATAAAGGTTATAGTTCTATTCTCAAAGAATTTTCAGGAGCAGATCTTCAACGCCCATGCAAGAAAAATGACAACCTTTCTGAGCCCCAGTTTCCTAGTCTATAACGCCAGTAAGCATCCCTTTCTGCGATATTGAGAACATAGAAGATATGAACATAAAGTGTCATATGAACATAATAAGCAGTGTATGCTATTCTGTCTGGTAGCAAGCTTAAATAAGAAAAAGCATGACAGGTTTTCAAGAACACTTGAACAATCTCTACATGGTCCTACACATCCCTCCCTGAAGGACTGCAGTCTCTCAGGCAGTACATTTACATTATTCCTCTCCCATTAACTCAGTGGATACCACACATGAATGTCGATAATTTGGTGGGTTGAGGACTTTATGATAATTACTTAGTGTTTACTTACCTCTAATCCACCTGACCATACTTAATGTAATCTTAACTGGGCTCTTTTGGCAAGCTATAAGTTACTTTTTTCCCGAAGGTTCCAGTTCCCCTGCCTATGGGCTAAATCCTGCTGACTGCTACCCCTTCCTGGACTCTTCTCCATGTTTCTGTGCCCCTTTTCTAACGCCCTATTTATCTGAGACTTGATTTATCATCTCTCTGTCCCACACTTCATAGATACATAATAGACCTTTGTATACAATAGACGTTTGTTTGCTGAGTGCAAAATTTTAGTTTTACTTAACAGGAGTCAATATTTCACAAAAATTAAGTTTTGCCTTTCAAAACTGCCAAGCTTAAAATGAAATAAGGAGGCAATGCCACCCACAGGGAGTAAATCTTTTCTGCAGTGAAAGTTTGGAAAAGGACACAAATGCTTTTCAGTGGAGCAACTTTTCTAGTCCTGTTTTAGAAACTCCAAAATTGAAGATTCTATTTAGGAAATGCAGCCATAGGTTCAAATTACTATTATCTTTCCAGGCGACAAAATTCTTTCCTTTTACAAGGTTTTGCCGTAAAAATTGTCAGCAGTATTATTACAGTATTTTAACTACTAATGGAACTTGTGCCTTAGTCCTTGTAATAAGATTTACTCCCAATAATAACACTGCAATTTTTGTATTTTTTTCCAATTACCATAGCCATGTACTATACACAACATCACTGTAATTTATAACTACTCATGGAATTATTTTGAAGTCTTAACCAACAACTATACACCCAACAATCCCACAACAATTTCTTTGACCCTAAAAATTTACCATGGCAAGCTAAAACTTTTGAAATTTTAACCACTGCTTTTTGTAATGTTTCTAGATAATTCCTTTTATCCTGTGGCTTTTCTTCTGTATCTCATCGCAAGATAGCCTTGGCATCACCTCCCCACTACATTTAAGCTGGTCTTTGCTATGTCAAGAAATAACCATAATAGATTAGAGAAAAACAGAATTTTTTTTTGAAGTTTTAAAGACCTAGTCTTTGGAGAATAATGGAATCAAATCCAGTTACAGATTTATATTGCTTCATTCAATAGTCTCAAGTCTGAAGCCAGAAATGACTTAAACATGTGGCTAGTCCAAATTAAGATGCATTGTTAAGTATAAAATATACGCTGGTTTTGAAGAAGTACTATGTAAAAGCAAAGGTAATACATATCATTAGTATTTTTATATTGATAACACATTGACATAATATTTTGGATATGCAAAAACAAAAATAATTTTATATGATCCTTTTTCAATCTGGGTACTAGAAAAAATATAAGTTTCTGTTTTGGTTGTTTTGGCTTTCCAGTACTGGGGATTGAATTGAGGGCCCTATGTGTACTAAGCAAGCACTACCACTGAGCTACTACCTACCTAGCCCCGCAAAATGTAAATTTCACATGACTCTTGTACTGTATTGCTATTGGACAGTGTTGGTATAGAGAACAGTAAAGCTTCCTTTCACTGAGATGAAAAATCAATTTCCTGGGCTGGAAGAGGAGTTAGAATATGGTAAGACCCTAGATGCCAATAAATCCTGACAAGGCACTTATTCTCACCCTATTCTGGCACAAGGTTTGGAGAAGGGTACCTGAAATGACAGGATCCACCTACCTATGGGATTGGAGACCTGAGACATAATTTTCCTGTTAGATCACTAAGGTGTGACAAACCCCTTAAGAGAAGCAAGGGCCAGGCCAACCTGCGCCATGAGCAAAACCAGACAAC